AGGGCGATGAGTGCCTCTGCTAGGTTTAGATGAAAGAGTTCCCCCAGGAAGTTCATGCCCTCAGAGGTGGGGCTTTCAAAAGGTGACTGGATCATGAGGACACTAAACTCATCAGCAGATTGATCTATTGATGACTTCACTTCTGAATGTCCACTTAAATTGGGGGGGGAGGCACTCACCTGAGGAAGTGGGTCACCAAAGCACGACATAGAAGGAAGTGTGTATTCTTGTCCCCAACCCTTTCTTCTTCTTCTAGGCTATCTTCCACCTTCTGGCTCTTTGGTTCCTTCCCTGCTTTCTGACTGCCATGATGTGAGCAGTTTTCCTCTGCTAGGCCCTTCCATCATGCTGTTTCAGCCTGGGAGCCAGCAGACCATGGACTGCACCCTCTGAAGCTCAACCAAAAGAACCTCTCCTCCTTTAAGTTGCAGGAGTCAGGTATTTTGCCTCACCAACAGATCAGTGACTAGTACAGCCCTCAATCTTCAGGGTATAGGCTGCAGTGGTCCACACAGGTCCCTAAGCATTGCTGAAAGTAGCTAGGTGGAGGTGAGACTGAGGGCTCTGCAGCCAATTGAGACTGAGGGGTGGCTGGCAGCACCTGAACTCTGATGGCTGCTGGGACGCTGCATCCTCAGGGATGACAGGGAGATACCAATGGAACCATAGTGGAAGGACACCTGTCCCCACCCACCCTCAAGGCCGCAGCACCATTGAACCCTCCAGAGCAGCCACTCCTAGGGGGAAGACGTCAGAGGCCTCAGTTAACTGGAATTTCATTTTTTGCTGTAGGTGAAAAGAAACTTTGAAAATAAATAAATTGTGTTATAGAACTAGAAAGCAACATTTCCTGAAAACTTTGAGGAGATTCATATACTACTACTTTCTGAAGAATTTATTCTTTGGAGTCAATTTTAAGCACATAAAAGGCAGAGATATCACTGGGGTAAACTTTATTGCCAGCACTTGAAAGTGTAGCTAGATATAAAAGCACCTACCATTAGAAAACTGTGAAAATCACTGAATGAATATTTTACTACTATGAAAACTTTTCAAGAAGGCACATAAAATTGCCATCATGTTTTATTCCTATGGAAAAAGCATAAATGGAAATAAAAAATCCATTAGACTTTCAATTCGCAATTATTATGTGGATAACAACTTTCTTCTTCTTATCCCAAACAAGAAAGGATCTCCTCAGTTGGATGGAGGTGATGACAATTCACTCCAGGTAAGGTAAAGCCTGGAAAGAATGAAGGCATGAGGAGAAGTCCTTTGCTCCCAGAAGAATGGCCATTAGGAGGTTTGCACATGGAAGCCAGAACAGAAAGAAAGTCATTCTTTACTTAAGTAGAACTGGGTCAGATCGAAGCCACACACATTTATGTAAGAAGAGATCCCTCTGATAAACACAGTGTACTTGCAAATAATGAACATACAATACATATATGAGTTGAATGGGGAAGGTAGACCAGGAGTACTTGCCACACCTTTTCATGTAATACCTACAGTGCTACCTGTGGGCAGGACTGGACCGGGCTTGCATTCATTACTTGACTTTCAGTGTTCCCTATAGCAACAAGCAGGGGCACAATGTGTCAGTGCCACCTCAAAACTTCCCTGCATCTTGATATTCTCTGCAGACTCCCATCTGTTCACCTAGCCCAGCTCACAGCCTATATCTGGACTCTGTGGTTACTTCAGGGACAGCTGAACCCTCTTGGCTTCTGTCCTTCAGGGAAACCACTATGTCTTTAAGACTGTTCTTTGGCCAACTTGGTTCACTCAGGCTGCCATATAATACCACAGATGCAATGGCTTCAAGAGCAGACATCTATTTCTCACAGCCTTGGAGGCTGAGAGTCTGAAATCAGGGTTCCAGCATGGCTGGGTTCTGGTGAGGGCCCTCTTCTGTGTTGCAAAAGGCTCCCTTCTTGCTGTGTTCTCACAGGGCAGACAGCCTGGGCAATCTCTCTGGTGTCTCCTATAATCCTGTCACAAGGACTCTCCTCTCATGATTTCATTTATTCCTAATCACAGCACAAAGGCCCCACTTCCTAATAATGTCACATAAGAAGTTAGAACTCCAACATGGGAATCTTGAGGGATGTATTTAAACCATAACAGCTGCAAATACAAGAAAGGCTCCTAGGGGATAGCAGCCACAAAACAAACTCTTCCTCGTTACAGCTGGGGCTGGTTATTTGACCTCAACAGACAGAATCTGACCTGGCAGGGGATGCTGCTTCTTGAGAGGGCTGGAAGTTTTAGGAACTTTGGGAATGCTGGGTTTGCTGGTGGTGTCAGGATCATGGGGGTTAGTGAGAATGTTTGGAGTAATGGGAACGCTGAAAACATTAGGAGTGCTGGGAATTTGGAGGTGTTGGGAATACTGGCAGTGTCAGAAGTTGTGGGAATGCTGGGAAAGCTGGCGGTACTGAGGATATTAGAGTGTCACAGCAGGCTCAGGGTGGCCACATAGTGGCGACACTTTTACCAGGGAACACTTCCACCCTCAAGGGGCATTTGTGTAGGTGTCTTTTCTGGTTCAGACTCCTGTATCACCTGTATGCTGGAGACCTCCGTTACAAGTGGGCATTCTCTGTTCCTCGACATGTCACATGTGCTCCCTCCTAAAGGGGCCTTGGCGTGTACCAGTTCCGCCTCTTAGCTCACCCTTTCCCTCCTGTATTCTCAGCACTCTGCAGCACCAGTTCAAATCATTTTCTAGTGAAGATTCCCACTGTTCCAGAAGCAGTGAGAGCGCCAGTGGATCTAGAAGTCTACTTCCTCTTTGTTTCTTTGTGACTATACTCTGAGCTCCTTAAGAGCTGGGAAATGGTTTTATGCTTCACCTCAAGATGGATACTGCTGGTACCCTGCTTGTGCCAAGTTGCTTGCTGCACACACATGAGAATGTTTGCCTGCGTTCTGCCATGCTGATATTGGGACTAGACTTGAACCACACTCAGGTCAAGCCATCAATGATGGTTATGAGACCATGTGCCAGCCCTCAGTAAAGTATGAGGAGCTTTGGTGGGTGAATATCCAGCTTCCTCCCCGCTGAGCATGGGACTCCAGGCAGCTGGTACTGCACCACTGAAGGCTGGACTGGGCCTGGGACTTCACTCACACAGCTGGCAGGTGGGTGGTTGCTCTTATAAGGAGGTGTCTTACTCTGCTCTGTGCCGTTGTAACAGAATACTGGAGACTAGGCAATAAATTTATTCTCTTGGAGTTCTGGAGGCTGGAAAGTCCTGGATCAAGGCCTTCTAACTCCATCCTCATATAAAAGAAACCTGAAAGACAAGAAAGGAAAAACTATGGAAGAGCAAGAGCCCACTCCCAGCAAACCTTCTACACCAGCATTCCTCCATTCACAGTGGCTCTGCTGGCATGACCATATCACATCTCCTTAGGCCTCACCTCCCAACACTTTTGCGCTGGGAGTTGCTTCCACCATATGGGTTTTGGAGGGGGCAAAGACATTCAAGCCGCAGCAGAGCCTCAGGTCCTCCATTGGTCCATTTGCTAATGTCTTAGTTACTTTTTCTCATTGCTGAGACAAAATACTTGACACTCAAAATTAAAGGAGGAAAAAATTTATTTCAACTCAAGTTTGTAGAGGTTTCAGTCCATAGTTGGCTGGCTCTAAGGCAGAGTGACATGGCAGAGGGGCCTTGCAGAAGAGAAACAGTCTGTGGCAGGTACAAGGCAGCAAAAACATCCAAGCAGCAAGCAATAAGTGACGACCTTCTTTCTGGCCCTTGTATCTTATCCAGTGTACCCACCATTAGGGCAGGTAACACTCCTCCTTAATTCTAGCATCACATCCTGGATCCTAGCATCACACCCAAATCTAGCCACTTCCCAAAAGTCCCACCTATGATCACATGAGACTTGGGGTGGGGGGCATCTAGATACAAGCCATAACAGCTAACAAGGATGGATCCTAAGTAGCTGAGAAAGAAATTGTTGGATTTCCCTGCCACATAAAATAGTAGCCTCCATGTTAAAATATGGCTTCTCCCAACAAAGGACAGACTTCTTCCCATCATGCCTCTTCAACCCACCAAAAGAGTAACCTGACACTTGCTAATTTCTAGCAGCTAGTGATGTCACAGGCTCCTCCAATCTCCTAATACTACCTCACTCAACTCCACCCCAGTTTAGGTTAACCCCACCCTGCTCCTATAAAAGAAGCTCCCTGTTCTGCCATGTTGTTTTCACTCCTTTGTTCAGAGACAGCCTGGCAGATCCTCCCCATAATAAAGGCTTCTTATGGTCCTGGTCTGGTCCTGGTTTTCGGCTCTTTTATCTAACAGAAATGTATCCTCTTTGCTCTTAGATTTCCTTAATCTCCTTCTTGGTACCTTGAACTCACCAAGAACAATAAGCAGTATTTCTCTGGCTGGTCACTAACTGGGAGTTATAATTTCCTACACACATTGAAGAACATCTTAGAGGGATAGACTCCTTCCAGCTCTCACTTTCTGGGAAAGTTGAGACTTCATGGAAAGCCACGAAGTACCTTCCGGTGTCTTATAGTTGCTGACCCAGCTCTGAATCTAGAACCTGGTTTATAACCTGGGCAGTGAACAAATGGAAGAGGCTGGAAAATGGGAGACTTTGAGAAAGTTATTTAGCATGTCCATCTCTCAGACTCCTAGATGAAAAGGGAAACTTGAGCACTGACACGCTCTCTCTCTCTCTCTCTCTCTCTCTCTCTCTCTCTCTGGTCCAGGTGACCTTCACTGAACCTCTGTTGAGCTTTTTGTTTTCAGTCAGGGTTCTACCTCAGGTACAGTGGAACCAGACAGCCTTTGATCAAAAATCGAATCACTGGGTAGAGATACTCCTGGGCTTATAATGGGTCTTGTCCCCAATATCTCATTACAAGTTGTCTTTTGTGAGGTAAAAATGCATTTTATTCACCTAGCCTAGCAATGTAGCAACTGTCACAGGATGTTGCTTCCCCTCATGACTGTGTGTCTCACTAGGAACTATGACTCACTGCAGCTGCCTGGCAACCCTAGAGAGGATGGGACTGCAGACCACTATCCTGGGAAAAGGTGAACATTCAAAATTTGAAGGAGGGTTTCAACTAAATGCACGTTGCTTTCACACCATCTTAAGGCCAAGAAACTGTAAGTAAAAATATCATAAGTTAGAGACATCTTCTCTTGATGAAACATAAACATGACAGTGTATGGTGTTCTACGGCTTCCTGGTGAGGGCCTTGTACCTGGAGAGGCAACATTCATTTGCAGAAATCAAAGACAAGAAAATGTAGAGGGCTATGCAGATAGAACTAAGGGCAAGTCAGTGTGTGTGTACCACAGGTGCTTCGGTATAGGGCATGGAGACTGATCTGAAGGTTAATTGGAAACTCACTTTTGCCCAGTCTTTGAGTAAATACTATGCAGCCCTGAAGACTGGGATACCTCAGGTCCCTGGGGCACCTCTGAGGGCAGTGGTGGTGCACCTGTGGCATGTGTGCTGCAGCTGGGTGCTTGTTATCACCGAGAGCTCTAAAAGGTTTGCCATCACTGTCCCAGGGTTCTACATGTTGTTTCCAGAGACATGCATCAAATGAATCATGACTGAGCTCTACACACTTGTGTCCAAGGTACTTGCCACCATATTTTGTTTAGCACTGAAGGGCACACATAGGTGGGGACAGTATTGCCACAAAAATGATGCTCTTGGAAGAGGAAATGGGACACACAGCAGTGTGGCAGGCTCTCGACTGTGGAGATGATTAAGGAAAGTAGAAAGGTCCCAAGGATCAGCAGATGGGTTTCTGAATGAGGTCCTTATTCCATGTTTTTACAGTAGTGAAGGGTATTTGGGGCACGAGAATAGGCAGGGTAGAGGTGAAGTGTGAAAGGAGTTAGCTGGGCTGTCTGGATCCCCTTCTCTGGAAGAGAAGCTGGAATAACTGCTCTCAGGTGGCTCCCCTGGAGCAGCAGGGCTCTGGTGCTCGGAGGTGTTTTCCCTGAGGCTGTGGAAGATCTCTAAATCTGAGGTATTTGGAGATCCCATGTCCAGCTCCTCTTGAACACCTAGGGAGTAGAACAGCACAGCTGATCTGAGCTGAGGTAGCAGCACTGAGAAGGTCCAGATGTCTAGAAAACTTGGGGGTGGGGAGAAGCAACAAAAAGGAGATTGGAGAGCTAGCAGAAAAATAGTATTTTGTTTCATCAATAGTTGGATACCATATCAGCCAGTTTTTTGCTCTCATAAAAAAAAATGCCTGAAACAAACAACTTAAAGGAGGAGAAATTTATTTTGGCTCATGGTTTTGGAAGTTTCAGTCCATGGTCATCAAGTCTGTTGCTTTATGCCTGTGGTGAGGCAGAAACATCATGACATTAGGGACATGGCAAAGGAAAAGTGCTCCTCTTGTGGCAGCCAGGAAGAGAGAGAAAGACGAGGAAAGAGCCTGGGAAGAGACTGGCCTTCAAAGGCTTGCCCCCAGTGGCCTTCCTCCTCCAGCTAGGCCCCACCTCCTAACAGCCATGTAACTAAGGGTTAACTCACTGATGAGGCCAACACCCTCATAATCACCCCTCTAGGTCCTACCTTTGAACTTTGAACTTTGCTGCATTGGCATCAAACCCTCGCTACATGAGCCTTTGCGTGGGGCACTTCAGATTTGAACAATAACAGGTGCCAAGGATGGATTGAAAGATCCAGCTACGTACATTGTGGGAGAGGAGGGGTTAGCTAATGATTCAGTGATTTAGACCAGTGTGTGTGACCCATTTGCAAAGTTTGAGATGAAAATGACCATTTATTTATTGCAAGTGAAGAATTTTTGGACTGCATGATTATCTCGAGTCACCTCAGCAAGATGCCCAAAGCCGTATCACATACTATGACTTTATCTTTCTCTTCCCTTGGTGCCTGGTCTGGAGATGAGCACATTAACTAAGATAATAGTGAGAATCATTCCCAGGGAGCTCCAAAACCATCAGAAAAGCTACTCATTCTCCCACTGGGATAGAGGTTTATTGGGATGGACCATGAAATACTTTTAGCTTCCTCAGGCCATCTCTCCTGGGTTGTGTCGTGGACTTGTGATGGACTGTCCAGACAATAAGGTCAACACAGAAGAGTGGAAACATTACATCTGTCTGTTGTGATAGTCTGGATTCTTACATGATAAAAACTGGGATGAAATAACTTGAGTCAAGAAAGGGAGAATTGGCTAATAAAGCAGAGAGGCTCAGAATCCAGAGAATATCTGATGATATTGTTGAGATTCCAGCTCACCCCTGCCGTTTCCGCTCTTCTGTGTCGACCTTATTGTGCACACACAAACATTATCAAATAACCCTCAGTAGTATTCCTTCCTTATTCATGGTTTCACTTTCTATGGTTTTCATTTTTTGAGGTCAACTTGAGCCTGAAATATTCCAGAAATGAATAATTCATAAGTTTTAAATAACTTGTATTGAAATATATTGCTACAAATATTCCATTTTATTAATAATTATTCTTGTTAATTTCTTACTATATCTAATGTGTAAATTAATCTTTATTATATGTACTATAAATAGGAAAAATACAGTATATATATAAGACCCAGTACTATGCATGGTTTCTGGCATCCGTGGAGTACCTTGGAACATAGACCAGAAAATTGGGAGGTTTACCAGGGATTTAGCTCCGTGGTTCCCCACCTTATTCACAAGCCCAAGGTCCCAAGTTCAATCCCTGGAACCAAAAAAAGAAATTGGGGGGTTACTGTAATTTATTATATAAATATTAGTCAAGTTAGTAGTGTATGTATAAAGTGCTAGATGAACAGAGATGTGCAAATTCACATAAATTCTACCCATCCTCACAAGGAAGTTATATTCTTGTAGGTGAAGCAAGTCATACTGCTGATTACTCAGCACGAGATTCAAACAGTAGATGTGTGTAGAGGTGACAAGCGCCAGTATATGAACCTGCAGGTAATGGTCTTTCTCTCTGGGTTTAGGGCAATTACAATGACTGCTTCTAGAGAGAAGAATCAAAGGTAATTTTCCACTTGAAGTATGTATCAAGAACCCCCAACTATCCAGCATTAGGATCAAATAGTCATTGTGCTGCAGAGGTAGCCATGGTGCAGGGTAGAAAGTGACCCAGGGAAGTCCACAGACATTGTTAAAGAATCTGTAACTCACTTTTTTCTTGTTTCAGGGAGAGTGTATATTGCTCTCTTCTGCTTTAAACTGATATATTAGCTGTCTGGGTATGATCCAAGTACACTGTTATATCCAGCTATGTAAACGATAAAACCATTGCTGAAATTTATAATTTGGGTCATCATCATTATCATCATCTAAAATTAATTACTAAGTGGTATTTTATCCAGACTGAGTCTAACAAAGTACCACAGACTGGGTGACTTAACAGAAATTCTGGAGGCTGAAGTTTGAGATCAAGGAATCAGTGGTTTTAATGTCTTTCAAGACCTCACTCTTGTCCCTGCAGATGACTGTCCTGTCCTTGCATGGTCTGCCTCTGAGTTTGTTTGTGTCCTAATCTCTTCTCATTAGGACCCAGTCATATTAGATTACATCCCATTCTGATAACCCAATTTCAGATTAATTCCCTCTTAAAGGCCCCATCTCCACTACAGTGATACTCCACAGATACTGGGTTTGGGGATTTCAGGATCGGAATGTGAGGGGCAGGGTACAATTCAAACCGCAACAGTCATTATTTAAGTTTTTCAAAATAACATTAGAAAGAAACCAAAGAATATATGTAGCCCTAGAAAAAAACAGCATTGTAAATTGAGGAAGAATGTCACGGGAACGTTGTCTTCAGCACTTCACACACCAAGGACTTTATACTGGACCCAGAAATCACGGTCCTCTGCTTAACTCTAAATCCGTCAGGGGCTTGGGCCTGAACTCAGTGGTAGAATTGCACACTCAGTATGCACAGTAACCAATATATGCTAATCATTTATTTTTCATCTTTAAATACATGTCCTCAATGTCACTTTATTAGCTACATTTGATGCCAGGTAAGGCACGTCTCTTTCCTGGGCTTCTCTGAGCCCTGTCATCCATGTATTTCAAACAAGAACAACAGCTGTCTGCCTGTAAGGAAGAGCAGTAGTGACAACGCTGGCTCTGGCAGTGACTAATGACATGTATGCTAGACAACACCAACTTCTCTTGCTGCAGAGAAAATCACCGGCACATTGGTTGCCAAATGACCCCTACAGGCCCGGCTTGCAGGTAGCATTAGGCTTCTACAAAGAAAAACTAAAGCTTGGTTTAAGTTGGGAAAATAACCTCATCCAGCACTGTGACTGGTAAGATAATTGTAAGTCAGCTCATGTTTTGTCTGCCTGGTTTGTGGGGACGGGTGCTGTCAACACTTACATACAATAAGCGAATGACCCCAGGTACTTTTGTTTGGCAAATAAGAAACTTGAGATTGGCAGAGGAAAAAAAATTAAATGAGAAGGAAGGTTAGCAGAAAACTCCAGTGAGAATTGCTAATTTCCTTGGCACACCCCAAGGCAAGTGCTCACAAGCCTGTGTGCCTTCCTCTTCAAGAAGAAGTTTCAACAAAAGTTACTCCAAATCCCATTTTATATCAGTGACACCAGTTATAGTAATTTCTAACACAGAAGAGAAATGAAGAACATAAGATTTAAGCTCAAGGGGCCATTAAAAATGGGAATGCCTGCAAAAATTAGATCATCTAAGAGATGCCTATTGCTGTATTAATTAATAATACTGATATCAAAATAGTTGAGATCTTTTCTGGGAGGGCACTGAGAAAGCCTGTTTCTCATGCTGCTTCTGGTCCTGACATTGCAGTTCCCACGCTGGGACAAGACGTTTGAGCTCACAAACTTTATGCAGCTCACAGGATATGTCTGTTTCCCAGCAGCCTCCTTGTATGGCTTGAAGAAAGGGCTGGAGAACACTTTGGATCTATATGGGGAGAAACCCAGAGAGCAACAGTAAAGGCTCTACTTGGAGTTCATGGATTCTGATCCTAAAACAGAAGCTGTTTGCCTGGCCCTCTGGGTGGACCACCCTGAGCCCATAGTTTAAGTAATAAAAATATCTGCAGGTCACCTTTTGTGTGCCAGGGACTGGGTTAGACTTCTTGTGTTGGAAACGGATGCATGACTACATATCCAAAGTATCTGGTGTTCACTGGAATAAGATGGCGCTGAAATTGAGCCACACCAAGGCTCTTAAGGGAGAGGCACGATTTGCTAGTGGACAAGGAGGGAGAGGCTGCATCCCTGAGAGGAGCAGTGATCATGAACACTGCTGAGGAAGGCTGGGGAAAGCAACACTGTGGAGGCTCAAGATGGCAGTGTGGGGAGGGATCTGTGTACACTCCAGGCTGACTCACGTGGGCTTCTCCCTGCCAAGGACAGGGGACAGTCAGTGCGGAGTGCTCAGACTGTGTTTGCAAACCCAAAGGAAATTGCTGCAGACAATGCCTGTATTACGTTTTATTAGTGTTAGACTTACGTCATCGGATGTGATGAGTCGGTTAACTACTTTGTGTCTGAATAAAAAGGGACAACTACTTTAAATACTATTTAATTACATCATACAAATACATATTTAGAAGTAAATGTATACATACATTTGTAAGCATTGAAAAATAGTGATAGTATAGTTTGGCCATAAGCCATTTTATAATATCATCATAAAAGATTTCAAAAATAGTATTTACTGCTTGCGTGGACACCTTGATCCTGATCCCCTCCTGTGTTCTGTCCTTGTTGCTAGAGCAGATTGCGAAGTCCACAATTCAGTGTGTTCTGGGGAGAGGACAGAAGGAAGCCAAGGACTTCAGCACCACCTACTGCAGCCAAAATAAGGTCACCAGCATTTGGAAGTATTTTGGCCACACTGCCTCCCACATTAATGCAGTTTGAAGTGCAGTTTGAAGTGCAGTTCTCCTCTCACCCTCCTCCCTCAAGTGCTCTGGTGCCTTGGGGAAGCCCGGCTCAGTGAGGACAGAGTCAGAGCCCCAGGCTGGGTCTTCAGAGAGGGCGCCACAAGAGAAGCAGCCCTGGGAGGGCAAGCTTCCGGGAGCTCCTAGAACACCAGCTGTCGTTCAACGACCGAGAAAGACTTAAACCCTGCATCCTCACAGCTCTCAAAGCAGAGGCTGAGGATGGATGTGTTTTTATTTTACTCAAAATTTTCACTTTTAACCGCAGGATGTGTTAACACTCTGCCATGTGGAGCGTTCACCTGGAAGGTATCACACAGCGTGCAGGAGGCACAGCTGCTCATTCCCGGTGTGATCATTTAGGTCAGTGATGATATAAAATTAGCAATAAACAATAATGATGATTATAAACAGCGAGGTTTCAATGGGAGGACTTGGTAAATACATTGGTACTTGTCGAAACGCTTCAATGATTATAAGCTTACAATGTGTATTTCCATAGCTACTCGTTGCTGTTTGAAGTTTTTTCTCGCACTGAAGAACTTCAATTGTAGATTTGGTTGAAATATTTTCCGTGTGGTTATATTCCTTCTGTGGTGGAGAAGTAAACATCAGATGCAGCCTAATGGAACTACATTAGGGAAACAAAACATCGGGGAAAAGAAAAACCCAAGATGGATAATAGATTTGGGGTGTGGGTTTCTCAGAAGCAAGTGGACAGCCAGTTCCTTCCCTTAAGTGGGCTCTGTCTCACAACTGCCTTGCCTCACCCTCTGAGTGAGATCTGAACGGAGAGGAGGGTGATCTCATGCTAACAGAATTGAACGCAAGTTCATTATCTACAGTGCCCTTTTCCTCAGGTAGGGCTGTGGTATTTCTTGGTACAGTCGGCTCATTTATATTTTAAACATCTGCAAGACTACAGTGAAATGAACTCCCTCTCAATCATCACTACTGAGAATGAATAAATACATGCATTTATCTTGCACGCAGTAATTGGCTGCCAGGCATTCTGTGATCCTTTCATTAGGGTGATGAGATCCAAAAATAGATGCCAAGTATGTTTATCAGAAGCTCGTAGACCCACCTGAGGTATAAAAATTTCCCGTAAATGCAGCAGTCTGTAGAGATGTGTGTGGGTGCGCGTGCATGTGTTACCACGCACGTGTTCGTGGCAGTTTTGGAGGGAGCAATGGGAAGCAAGGAATCAGGAATGAATCCACTCTTCCACCTGCCTTGGATCCTTCTTTGGAATAAAAACATGGTGTAATTGACTGTCTTTGGTATTACCCCTGAGAGAACTTCTCCACTATTCCTTCTTGTGTTCTGGTTTGGGATCAAGATGAGTAGATCTGGTTTCTTTCTGTTTCCATGAATTGTTCTAAGGCCAGCATTGCTAGCTCTATCAGATCTTGCATCCCTACCTTTGCCCCCCTGTACAGTCACAGATTAGGTTTTGGTTAAAGATAATTGTATACCCAGAGTTCCAGCGTGGGTCCTAGTGAGAAGTGCCAGTGTGCTAGGCAGAGGTTTGGTTTCTTTGGTTCCATCCTTGGTGTTACCTCATGTCCAGGAGGCAAAGAGAGGAGGAGGGGGGAAGGCAGGGATTCCATGTCAAGGGCATGCCTCACATGATCTAAGGACTTCCATTTCTAAAACGTTGGGGTCTGGCCTTTGAGGGACATTGTGGGTAATGGGGACTACCATAATATGACAGCCAGGAAATTGACATTGTTATAATTAACTGATTTTGTCCAATTTCTTCTGTTTTATATGTACTCATTTACGTGAATTTAAGTGTGTTATATTAGTTCTGTGTAACTCTGTCACATATGGAGTTTCATGGATTCACTGTCTTACGCAAGATACAGAACAGTTCCATCATTTTGCCTTTTAAAGAAAACATTACTCATCTCCTGCCCACACTGACTTCGTATTCCTAATCCTAGCAAATGCTAATCTGTTGGAGTACTTGTAAATGATACTGTGTTTTTATTTTGGTTTCAGAATGCTCATTGTTTAGTGTAGTTATAGGTTGATATTGTCTTGTTGGTATTGTACATAGGACATCACTGAACTCACTAGTTTGTTCGAGGCACTCGTTTTTGTGTACTAAACTATTCCCTGAAGATAGTCATGCTATCTAAAACACCACTGAAGACAATTGTCAACTGAAGTGAAGTAGCTTCAGTTAAACCTGGGTTTCATATAATTTAATAGTAGCAATTAGGTCCTTCCTCTAAGTAGAGGTGGGGATCTAAGACTCAAATCTTTCTGGTTTTTTGCTCACTCTCCATCTTTCCATGACTTGGAAGAACTCTTGTTGGACACAACTCTACATAATTTGGGGAAAAAATAATTTTACAATTAAATTATGATTAGGCCTAGTTTTCCTGCCTATAGGCTAGCCATGGCACAATGAGACACAAGTGCATTTTTGCCTGCAGTCACAGCTAAGACCTCAATGGTCCAGCAATGCTGTGAGGCCCCAGGGAAGGATTACATCAGCTGAAGACATTTTTGTTCCTTGAGAACTGAGTAATAAGAGAAAAGTTTCACCTGGGGAGGGGCAAATTCCTAACCAACATAAATTCCTTGTCAACCTAGGATCTTCATTGTCCTAGGATTATCACTACTCTCTGAGTCATCTGTTACTCCTAATGTACTAAATAAAGGTTTGGCAAGCTTGGGGTGCCCTTGACTTTGCCGCCCAGACCCCATTGATCAAGCCTAAGACTTAGCTTCTTTTCTAAGTCTTGTTTCCTGTCTTTATTAATCAATTTGTCTTGTACTGTCATGGCTCACAGGAGACCAGGACCCACTGCAGGGTTCTGGTAATGTCCCCTTTCCCTGTTCCTTACAAACTCTGTTTAGAGTCTTGTCTCTAGCACTGTACCCTGCAGGATCTCCCTCTCTCTCTCTCTCCCTTTCTCTCTCTCTCTCTCTCTCTCTCTCCCTCTCTCTCTCTCTCTCTCTCTCTCTCTCTCCACACACACACACACACACACACACACACACACACGCGCACACACACTGTCATTATCACCACCTTTTCTTAGTCAAGGCAGGAAGCTGACACCCAACAATATTAGAACTTCTTATATTAACTGAGTTCTCATCTCTTTGTTCACGAATAAGGTCAGTGTTAACTGATGTGTCTTGCTTCACAACTTGGGCTGTGTTGCACTTCCTCTAGGTTACATGCTATTCTAAGAATGATAACACTGTATTAGATACAAACTTACAGATCAACAACTATATAAAGCAAGTACAGTTATGATGCCCAGTTTAAGCCACACACATATTAAGGAATCACCCGAGCTCTTGTTGAATTAGACTTGCCTAATTAAAGAGTTGCCTGATTAGAAACTAGAGCCAAGAAGTTTAGGGCCAAAGTCTAGATCAGTTCCTTTATTGCCATGCATGGTCTCTGCCCCTTTACCCTTAGGCCATAATGTCTGTGGCTCTCCCAGTCATGCATAATTTATAATCATTTTGAGGAGTATAGTCAGGTCTGAGGCAGTCATAAAGAAGAAGAGTTTTTACTTTGTTTTACTTGTTTGCTTTTGTTCAGAAATTATTTTCATAACAATAACTATTCCTACTATGATTATGATAGTCAGTGTCCTGTATCTGTGTGTTCCATATTCATGGCTCCTATCAATTTTTAAAATAATTTAATCTGTCTTAAACATGTGAAGACCTTTTTCCTCTGTCATTATTTCCCCAGAAATACAGTGGAACAATGTATGCATCACTTACATTGATTTAGGTATTAAAAGTCATCTGAAGGTGATTTAAAGCATAGGAGGCCGTGTGTAGCTTACATACAGATATACCCTAAAAACACCTCACTGAATCCACACAAATGCAGGGCCATGAAGGCCCAGGGCTCTGCATCCCTTCAGCCCTTCACAGAACCTCAATCTCTCCTTGTCCGAGGGCTTTGCACTTTGTGTCTCATGCATGTACACCATAGTGAGACCTGGGATGGCACCTACAGACCTCTGCTGTTGTCACTCCTTGGACAATGCAGTATGACAACTAGTTACGCAGGACTGATACTCTGCTGGGTTTTAAAATACTGTGGAGATGATTTAAAATACACAGAATGATGTGTTACGTTCTGTGCAAATACTTTATATAAGAGACTTGAACATCTAGGAGTTGGGGGACACATTCCCCTAAGGGTCTTGAGAGATAATTATATTTGTGTCACGATTCAGATTACATGCACGCTTAATTCACTCTCTGGGTGAGAAACTCAACCACATCAACCTCATGGTGTAACTGGGGTTCCTCTGCTCTCCCCAGGGGCCTCTGAGATGCAAATGCCCCACAGAGACTCGGAACCCTTGGCCTTGGAACACAGGTGGGCTCTGCAGTGGACATCTCCAAATCCCAGAGCTCCTGGCTTCTCTCTGTCCCTGGATGTTGCATATGGGTTCTGAGATCATGGGTTAGACAATTCACATCCTCTGCATGCAGTCTTTGTCTACACATCTTATAGTGGAAAAAATATGCAGCATAGAGACCAGTGTAACAAACTCCTGTGTACTGATGCCTCATTTTCAAAATAATCAATGCATGGGTCTATCTTGTTTGATTCATTTCTCCACCTACTGCACACTCTCCCTACAGAGTTATTTTTAGCCAATTCATAGGTATAATACACATTGTTCAATAGTTACCTCTAAACACATGTATTCTTTTAAGAAATAGACATATTATTATACATCTAAAAGTCAATAACAATTCCTTAGTATAATCAAGTATCCAATTAGTATTCACATTTTCCAATAGCAGGTGTGTTGAAATTAACATCCACAAAAGATCCAAACATGGTAAGGTTATGTCTCAAACCCATTATCAGTTTTTCCATTCATCTTTTTTTTATATATATATTTTAAAGGACAGTTGTTAGTTAAACTGGGGAATTGCCCTGGAGCATTTCTATAGTCTGATTGTACTGATATCAGTCCTGGCCAGTGGTGCTTTGACATGGTCCTCTGCCTGCTGTATTTCCTAAACACACACACACACACACACACACACACACCACCTGGAGAATGATGTACCCTTGATTACATTCAGGTTCAATATTGTTTTGCAAGAATGCTATAGTGTGTGTACTTTCTGTTTCACCCAGGAGATCCTTATTGTCTGTC